ATTATTATTATTATTGCTGCTTTTCATATTCTACTCATTAGATAGTAAGGTAACTAGAATTAGAGTACAGTAAATTCCATTGGTGTTTATTGTTGTTTTATATTTTGCATAAAAAGCCCTATCAATGCTAACACTGATTATATTATACTATAGAACGTCGTCGTCATACAGTAATAAATAGTAGAATACAGCATATATATATGTTGTATGGATTGTATTTAAGGTTGTGTAGGTCTCCACTGCTCATTTATATAACTGGAGAGTAGTAAGATATTTATGCAGGTGGGTGGGTGGACGAGCGAGCACCCGGACGTCGATGACATTTTGTGAGAAGACAATAATAATAATTTGCTTTATTCCAAAATAGTACTTGTTGATACAGAATGAAATTCTCAGCATTTTTACTACAGTATTGCATCCAGTTAGTACATTGTCAATAAATAAAATTCTACATAGATTAAGGAAATCTCAGTTCATTATGAAAACAACATATTGGCATGTCGGTAGCAAAGCCAAAGTTGAACAGTGTTTGAAGGTGTTTGAAAAGTAGGTGCTGTCATATTTACTGGCGTAAGTGTAAGAAAGAAACAAAGCACCACATAACGGAAAAAGAGAGAGAGAGAGAGAAAAAAGGAAAAGAAGGAAAGAAAATGTTGTATCTATAAATGATATGAGTTGGAAAGACGAGGTCCAGTTGTACTACTGACTATTTGATGAATTATAGGTGTCACGCCTAATACTTTCTTGATCGCACAGAACACGAGCGATTGAGTTGAGTTGAGTCACAAGGAGTGGATGCATCTGCACCAGTCATTGAGAACGATATTGAACCATGTCACCGATTGTTTCCAGCCATTGTTTTTTATCGTCCAGAGGACCCCAACCACACAGAAGTTTACACATTTTTACGTGGCTGGCTGGCTTAAACTAACTGTTGTGGATTTCATTGACTGGTAAAGCCATGTTTTGGTTTGACCACCGCTAGCTCTTTTCCAGCCTAACCTTATGTCAGCTAAAATTGCCTGTTGAGGAAGGCAATGACTAGGCATGTGCAATACATGTCCTAACCATCTCAGTCGATGTAGCTTCACAGCCTCGTCGATTGATTTCCCCTCCTTACCTAGCACTCGACGCCTAACCTCAATATTGTTTACCTTATTATACAACTTCACACGGGAGATAGAACGCACGCACCTATGATCAAAGACAGCTAGCTGACCTTTTCATGTCATCCACTCTCAATGGCCAGGTCTCACAGCCATAAAGGAGGATGGAATGGACTGTTGAGCGGTATACCAGCCTTTTAGTCGATGGCCGGATATGACGTCTATGCCAGAGACGGCGTAAACTGGCATATGCGAAACTAGCCCTCTGTATCCGTTGCTGAGATTCCGTCAGAGATCAACCCGTTGGCACTGGCTTATGGTACTTCCCAAATAAGTGAAGCGGTCAACGTGCTCTGCCACTTCACTCGCTATTTCTAAACTAGGAGTAGGTGTAGTCCAGTCCTGTAACATCATCTGACATTAGGCGGGAGCGAATCGCATGCCAAATATTCGTACATTGCAGCTCAAAGTGTTCAGAAGACTCTGTTTATACTTGAAAAAACAAATAATGTTTCCTGAGCATCTTTTAGGAATAATCGTTTAGCAACTTTGTGTCATGATATTAACTCATCACAATACACATCACTTACTTATACAACTGGACACTTATGACAACAGTCTTCACGCCATTTATATTCAATCTTCATGTGTAAATCACCTTGATACGTGTTTATCTAACTCAGTGATCGTATGACTAGTAGTTTGTTGCAAACATCATACGGACACACTTTATGCATAACAAGAATAAGGTTTAATAAACTTTGTGTTTTTGAAATAATGCAGAAGATTTGTAACTCAGTTAGACATTTGTTATGATATGAGATGGTTGGAGGCAATCGGCCACAGGAAGCCTTGGCTTACCTAGGTTTCGTGCTAGTTGGCACTCACCAGTCAGTCAGCAAGGCGTATCTGCAACCAGCTTGATGGAGCTCATGTCCCTTCTGAGATTCGAACCCGCGTCACTCAGTGCTGCAGTCAGAGACGTTACCACTGAGCTATTCGGGCTCGCGATTGACCTCCTGTGGGACTGTAGTGGATATTTTGATTTGACACTAGTAACTAGTGTGACGTGTCTAATTTCCTTTCTTTGGTGCAGACTGAATTCTATCAGTCAGTCAGGTTTGCAATGTGACTACCACTCTAGGTAGCTCGCCATCACGGTGTACACTGTTTGTGATGATATGAGATGGTTGGAGGCAACCGGCAGGAAGCCATTGTTTATGATGTGGTTGTGTTCTCTGAGCTTGGCGTTTTAACTGAGAAGCATCTTGATAACAACATCAGAGCTTGCGTCGGTGGCATAGTGGTTAGGACGCTCGCCGACCATGCACATGGTCCGGGGTTCGATCTCCGGCCGACGCACTCCTTGACCTCGCTAAGCCAGAAATAATGATGGTGAAGAGGAAAGGTTGGGTATGAGGCTAGCAACCCCATCCTGTAAAACAAACACCACTGCTACAGAAACTTCAAGCCACTAGCTTGAAGCCCTATGTTCCACTGAAGAACGTGAAGGAAAAAAACAGGCGCGGAAGATGTCGTTCAAATGCTACACAATTAAACCTCAACCGAAAGCTGGTACGTTGATGTGGTGGTCAGGTTTCCATCTCTCAATGACACCCCACAAGTTACAGCTGACTAGAATGAATGTTCGTGCAAGTCATACCACACCGGAAAAGTCTTTTTGATAGCAGTTAGACCAAAAGCAACTACCATCATAGTGTATAAGTAGTTCACAGTATGCTGGAAGTCTGTCGGCAAAGTTGTACTGCTGACAGATAGTGATGTGCAACAGGAGACAACAACCTTGCTATATTGCTTCGCCGCTCAGGGGAAGGGGTTTAGAAAAAGTCGATTGCAAAAACTGTACATCCCGACTAACACTGAAGTGACTCGTATAGCTGACAGTAAGATCCAGATACGAAGACAACTCTGAAAACCACTTCAAACAGGCCGTGTTTGACCGGTCTCAAGCAGTTGTCCATTAGGCTTTGCAGCCATACTCTTTCTGTCTCACATACTCCAAAAAGAAATCAACTTTTGCAATGTGGGCAAAAGTACACAAAACTTTCTTGATCACCATCCACCGTGCGAAATAGACCGCCCAACTTGGTGAACACTACAACACCAGAAACTTTACCTTTCTACAATACATATTCATCATCAATAAGTTAAATAAGTGATACGTCGTTGATCAGGATGTGAAATTCACCAAAACTAATAAGATGACTAGTATGCATACATGTCGATAATATTGAACATTGAATCCTTTGTTTATTCGAACTAGTCTCTATTTGGCGGGAAACAAGAAGGCTATCATTGCTCAATCGTAATACTGGTTGGCAAAAGACTAGAGAAATAAGACCAGAAGTTTAATTGTACATTCTATTAACGTTTATTTACAGACTTCGCACTTACTAATAATAATTGTAATTCTGTTACGTTATCGACGCAAAAATAAATAGTCGTAGTGCCTACCGTTTTCTGTTGTTCCGCGTCGATTACCGCGCATAGTATTAGGTTTAGTCTTCTAAAACTATTGAGAGATCTAGGATCTTTGCGATCTGGATATATATGACACATCTCTGGAGAGATATTTCATCTATCAGGCTAAGAGCTACACTACCGCCGTTAACTGGGTTGAAGTCAGGCTGTAATAGGTGAAGCGTAACTCTAATGCGGACGATATAGTCCTTCTAGGCGAGGACGCTGACAAAATGCAGAGTCTACTGAACAACTTGAGCAACAATCTTCGTATGTTTGGCATGCAATTCGCCCCTGTAAAATGTAAGATGATGCTGCAGGATTGGACTTCACCGACCCCTAGATTAGAAATAGGAATTGAAGTGGTAGAGCACGTTGACCGCTTCACTTATTTGGGAAGCACCATCAGCCCCAACGGGTTGATCTCCGACGAAATCTAAGCACGAATACAGAGGGCTAGGTTCGAATATGCCAGTTTACGCCGTCTCTGGCTTAGTAGATGTGATATCCGACTTTCAACCAAAGGGCATGTGTACTGCTCAACAGTCCGCTTCGTCCTCCTCTATCACTGTCAGTGAGACCTGGCCATTGAGAGTGGAAGACATGAAAAGATTAGCTGTCTTCGATCATAGGTGTCTGCGTTCTATATCCCACGTGAAGTGGTATAGTAGGGTAAGCAATATTGAGGTTAGGCATCGGTCGAGTGCTAGGTAAGGAGGGGAAATCAATCGACGAGACTGTGAAATTACATCGACTGAGATGGTTAGGACATGTGCTACGTATGCCTAGTCATCGCCTCCCTCAACGGGCAATGTTAGCTGATATAGGGTCATGCTGAAAAAGAGCTAGCGGTGATCAAACGAAAACATGGCTTTACCAGTCAATGAAATCCACAACAGTTAGTCTAAGCCATGTAGGAAGGTGTAGACTTCCTGTCTTGTTGGGGTCCTCGGGACGGTAAAAACCAATGGTTGGAAACAATTGGTGACATGGCTCAAAATCCTCGTTCTCAATGGCTGGTGCAGATGCATCCACTCCTTGTGACCTATAATTTCCAATTAAACTGTTTTTTTCTTCGTTATTACAATTCCTTTGTCTCACACCTCTGTTTACTGACTATACTATGCATTTCTTCTACTTTCTTCTCTTGCTTTGTGTGCTACAAGGAGTGGAGTGTGGCGACTTGAACTGCCGCACATCGGTGCAAAGTTCTATGTCGAAAACCAACCGACCAAATCCATGACCGAATTGGCAGCTGTAAAAGTGACGACAGCATTATAAAATCTCAATGAATCAATCCATCCATCAAACAGGAGCTTTTAGTTAACATACTAGCAAAAAAAAATTCGATAAATATTAATACAATTAACAACTTTATACACATATATCCCATCATCACCGTTCACTACCTACCATATCAACTAGTGCAATATAAACAAACATCCCCGCGGCTAACATAAATATCCATGTGTCGAGTGAGTGTAATCCACCGAGTAGAAAGCCCAGAATCATTCCACCAGCGCATAATACACTTGATAATAAATTGTAGAAAAGGGCAGATTTTACAGACATTCCAGCGTGTAACAGAACAGCGAAATCGCCTAGACAAAAAAAAACGGGAGAGAGAAAGAAGGAAAGTAAGAAGAGGATAGATGAAGAAACATCATCCTGCTTGAATAAGCAGCAAACAAATTAGGAACTCTATTATGTAATAGAATACAAATTATGAACATATCTCCGATTTGCATAACTGAGTACATTTTTAGACGGTGTGGCAATGGAGTCGCCACTAGGACCCATTCTAACCGACATTTTCCTGGCGAAACTAGAAAATGGGGCTTTGAAAGATGTTATTAATGAACTCGAATTTTATTGTCGATACATGGATGATACTTTTTCGACTATGAAGAACGAAAAGGAAGCAAAGAACATCCTGGATAAATTTAATGACGTACATCCTGCAATAAATTTTACTATTGAGAAAGAAAATGCCTCTAATATTTCATTTTTAGACGTACTTATGACCAGAAAAGAGGACGGCACCACAAGAAGAAGTGTTTATAGAAAACCTACATCAACGGGCCAGTACATATATTTTCTCAGCTTTGTGCCCTTGAAATACAATCGCAATCCAATAAAGTGCTTGGTCCACAGAGCAAGAGAGATTTGCTCGGATGAATGTCTTGACGAGGAACTTAACAATATTAAACGGTTGCTAAGTGAGAATGGTTATCCCGAAAAGTTTATTGATAAGAATCTGAATCTGAAACCAAAACAGCCCAAGTTACCAACAGTTCCAAAAAAGGCCTCCTTCTTACAGATGCAGTTCCTAGGAGACAACACAAGTGAGATACTAACAGAGCGCCTTAGAAATGAGCATTCCCTGCTGCTCAATTACGCTGTATCTGCGTCCGGGAATAAAGGACAAACTGCCTAATTTCGCCTCTTCCATGTGTATCTACCAATTTAACTGCTCCTGTGGAGCCAGTTACATAGGCCATACAATTAGGCATGTTTCGCGTCAAATTTCCGAACATCACCCTGCCTGGTTAAGCAAAGGACAAACAAAATCTATTCGCAGCGCTATTCTGGCTCATCTTGTGCAGACAGAACACAAGATTGACGTTAATCATGCTTTCAGGGTCATTTGCCGCATACCTACAAATCTCAATTTTGCCTTAAGAGTTCGACTACTAAATATTGCTGAGGCTATGGGGATCCATATTAACAAGCCTAGTTTGTGCATCCAAAAGAAGTTAGTTCAGACATTATTCTTACCTCGCTGGCCATCTAGGTTTGAATGATTCTGAATTATTTTGGAAATTTCCTAATTTTGGTTGATATTCTATTCGCTACTATATCTTTTTTATTATTATAATAATTTAATCATCGTTAATGAACTGCAATTAAACTGTGATCTTGCCTAACAAATCGATATTATTTAAAAAGCACTAATATTGTTATTGACTACTATCCTAGAATATTCTATGTATATAAAGTTGTATATATAATTTTAGAGCCTGGAAGAGGAATTTATCGAGAAGGATAGATATTCTTTGCTCAATTATTTTGTGTTTTATAAATGTCTGAATGAATATTTTTGCTATATTTTTAGAACTGTTAAATTTAGTTGGACAGAACCTGCAACACATTTTACACATTACACAATAATGTGTACGCATGTACACAGATACGTTGAATTTCGAATTCTGTAGAAACAGAGCAGCATACCGATGATACACCGCCAATGGCCTCCAAACATCTTTGTCCTAATTAATTTAGGAATGAGGTTTGTGGTATAGTTCTCAAAAAAAGATGAATGTACCAATGCTGTTTGTTGCTCTTGTTGTTTCAGACATCCCAAATATGTATAATAGTACAGACAGAACTCATTTATTTATCAGAGTAATAATCACTTTTGTGACAAGCATTTTCTGGAATAGAACATAGTTTTATCATAGGCGGAGAGTACAAAGATCTATAAAATATCTTCTGGTGATCCTCCCCCCCTCCACATCAAGAACTAATAAAAGGGCAGTGGGTGTTAAGATGAGCAAGTTTCCTCGTTAGCCATGAAATCATGACTTATGCTAACCTGACTGAACAGTTTTTGATTCGTTTGACAATTGGCTTAAATTCCTGAGGTTTTCTAGTAAAATGTGATATACTAAGTATTTTATCTAATCAATGCTATTGACTTGTCCCTGTTGGATCTAACTGATGTGTCTATCTCGAATTCCCCTGCAAATCTACGATTTAAACATATTCCTGTGAATTTATGATCACCATAAAGATGATAATACTTATTTACAAAAATTCTATCATGAAAAGTCGAACTAACTGTCACTACTAGTGGCAATCGCCTATTTCATCTACTTAGGAAAGGGTGTGGAATTAATGAGATTTTAGTAGGCGTAGTAGAGACTTGGTGATGCGCGCACCAATTCTCTGAACCACCTCCATGTGAAGGTGGAAAGTGTATTAGTGAGTTTGTTTGCTTGCTTGCTTTTGCTGTTGTGTTGTCTTTGCTGATTTTCAACCACACTAAGTCATGGATTCTGATCTTGTTTCAGTTATACTGGTTTGTATTGTCATCTCACAGACAGTAAATTATTATTATTATTATCATTACTCCCTTGAGTTTTGAGTGGAACAAACATAGGGCTTCAGTAACACAAACCTACTTCACACTCTGTTCTTTTCAGTCTTCTTAGCTGGCTCCTCAACTTCCTATAAGCTTTCATTTTCTCGTTTACGTCACCCACGGACTCAATCTAAATCCGTATTTCCTCGTTCATGTCCCACTCGACGGCGTGCCGCAGGATTTCATTCAACTGTCTTCTCTATGTATGTCCAACCCGTCTCCAATTTCTCCGGAATATTTGTTGGGTGACAGCCTCTTACTTAGCCCTTTCTGAGAGGTCCTTGTTACTTATCTTTTGTGATGGACCATATGATTCTTCAGTATCGAGTCAGTGAAGGCATCTGTTGATGACAGTCTGCTAGATAGGCTGATAAAAGTGCTTTTAGTGACGCGTCAAGTCCTTGAAGTATAGAGAAGCACTGATTTCAGATTAGTGTTGAAAATATGAATGGTGTGCCTTATGCTGTGCGTGCAGTAGGTTTCAGAGTGGTGAACTCCAGTATCCGTTATGATGTTACGTCATGCTTTAATGACTAATTTTATACCCCTTTCTAATATTTTTAGGTTTCATGGACTATTTTATAAGTTGAATATGTTGGAGGATTTCATCATGAGCTGACATCGGTTAGAGAACCACTGGAAAACCAGCTGGGAGTATGGGACAACTGTTTCCTCCGCCCTACTTTAGGACTCCTCATCAGTACGCACCCACAACAGGGGTTCGAACCCAGAACCTTCAGATTACAAGGCTAGCGAGGTCTTAGACCGTTACGCCACAGGGACCTGATCCAATGGCCAGTCCATGAATTCTAACTTCTACCCGTTCATGACATAGTGCGACCACTTCGCAATGTCTTCTTCGATGAGTTACTGCCTCACCTTCAACCAGCTGTACCCTACTGGTCACGGCTTCCCACTAGAACCCCAAGTTAACTGGCTGAATAGGGCCAGTCGCTAGTAATGATGAAATCCTCCAACCAATCAAACAATTTATTTTTGATTATAGCTTTATTCCACACCGTAGTTTTGGTATAAGTATGGAATTTTCAGCACGTGATATCGGTAGCCCAAATTTTGCAGGCCTACCATTGATATCGGGTGTGCGTCTGCAGAGGATCGAACCCCGGACCATGTGCATGGTCGGCGAGAGTCCTAACCGCCATGCCACCGACGCACACACACACAAAATCCCTACAAAACCAATACTTGAAAGTTACATAATCTCTTTAGTCGCTTGATATTATTTGACAACGATTATTTCATATACATCTATTTGAATAGTGATGCATATTTTATTTCATATAGGGAAAATACACGTCTTTCTGACTGGTCAACTGAACTGTTAAAATTATATCAGAGTTATGTACACAATTTTGTAGTATAAGACAACACAGTTGTTAGGGTTCGATAGCACACACTGTTATATTGTGTACACCCTGAAAAAGCCAATCTGAAACAAATAAAACAAAAATTAAATAAATGCCTCAAACATTACGTACTTTTATTCCCGGAAGCTAGTTAGTTACTCATGTCAACAGAGATCTCGTTCACCAGCTAATACAATTGGAATACAGCTGAACTGCTTATATTTGGACTAGTTCATCGTAATTGGAACTACCAGACTACGAGACGAGCGCATAACTAAGGGTCATAATGAAATCTAATTCTTTGCAAATATCCCAGTAGTTTAGAGCCGAGGAAATATCCAATAAAGATTTTTAGTCGCTATTACCACTACTGTCTGGTATGCAAAGTTAACATTCCCGTTAAGTAATGGGCCCTATATGCTTTGTTGAGTTTGTGCATCGCCAGAAGCATTGGCTGAAGACTTTAACCAACAGCTGGTTTCGCTGAGTTCTCGAAATCAGATAAATGGCCAGAGGCGATAAGCTGCAAGCGAACCAGCCTACCTAACGGATATGCAGAAATTACCTGATAAGGCGTCTGTGGATGTTAGTTAACACACGCCAGGCTCTTGAGTGGAATGTGTATAAGAAGCCACAAGTCAGACGATCTAAGATAAAGTGGAGATCACGTGAAGTGAAACAACAAAATGAAATGAGCTGACATTAGTTAGAGAACCATTAGAAAACCTGCAGGGAGTACTGGACAGCTGTTTCTTCCTAGTTTGGGACTCTTCATCAGTACGCACCCACCGGGGTTCGAACCCAGGACCGTCTTGTTACAAGGCGATGTCGCATACCATTAAGCCACTGGAACCCGATCCAATGGTCCATGAATTCTAACTTCTGCCAATTCACGACATAGCGCGACCCCTAGCCAATGTCTTCGGTGAGTATTTCTCCTCACAGCCGACCTGCTGTACCCTACTGGTCACGACTTCTCACTAGAACCCCAGGTAACTACCTACCTGAATAGGGCAAGTCGCTAGTGAGCGGTGGGTGCGTACTGCTGAAGAGTCCCGAACAAGGCTAACGAAGCAGCTGTCCAGTACTCCCAGGTTTTCCAATGGTTTTCCAACTAATGTCAGCTCATGATGAAATCCTGACACTTGAATAACGAAATGAAAGCTTGTGGGCAGTCGCGGAAATGACAGAAATGACGGAAATCTACTGGTACAGACCCCTGTGTTTCGTTACAAACAGCAGGAGTGAATAATAATCAAATTAATTCTTGTAGGATTGATACGGAGATTTGAAAATAGAAGAGAAAAAAATAATCATCAACAACCAACTAGTGTGTTCTCACAACATCCATTTCAACTTACCTAATTCATGCGGTAACTCATGACACAATACCGCTATCGATGTTGACAGCCCCCCGCGAATATCATTGGCGAACGCTGCACCAATAGCTATACCATCACAGAAATTGTGTAATCCATCGCCAGCAATTATAGTATAAGCAATAGCACGTACAGAGCTTAAATCATGACTATGCCCATGATGATGTCCATGAGGTTTATCTCGATGTGGATGTGTATGACTTTGTTCAGCACTGCCAAGATAACTGAACGAGGAATTCTTCTTCAGTATACCAACACCACCACCACCACCGTTGGATAAATCATTTTGACCTTGTGTATTAAGCATATGATTGGAAAGTTCTAAAGCAGCCAGCTAAATGCAGTGGGCGTTTCATTTTTGTGTAACAGAAGAAAACAAGTGCGCTATAGATTAATTATTACATAAATATGTAGTGATACACACAAAAAAATAATAATTATTATTATTATGATTGATTTTCAAGAAAAGAAAACAGATTATAATAATAGAGTGTGTCTACACCACAATTCAATTAGGCGACAACAGGTCGCAAAACCACAATAAATATCATCAGAAGAAGATCAATATCGTATGATCAGGATAGAATTAGAGCAAACCGTTAAAAGATAACAATATATATGTACATATATATGCTCTACAGTGCCAATTCTCTTGAGCGTCTCTATATATTAGAGGTCACAGGAGTTAAAAATTTCAACTGAGATATAGATAACACGCATATCTTTTTAATAATGAGATGCTACTAGAAGTGGTCTACCTACATGATGATTTCTGTTCTGTTTTGTTTGTTGTTTTTTAGTACAAAAAGCCCGCTGATAAATAATAACCTGAATTGTAGAGAAAACATTTGAACTATGCTTTTTTATTTTATGGGAATTTCACGATCGAAGAGAAGGGGACTAGTTTGAAATCAGTGCCTTATAACTTGATCATCACACATTAAAACAAAGATGATTTATTATTTAACACATAAAAAAATGTTTATACAAGTTTGACCATAGATTGATATCAGTTAGAGAACTATTGAAAACCAGCAGGGAGTACTGGATAGCTGTTTCATCCCAGTTCGGGAGTCACCAGCAGTACGCACCCACCACCTTGTGGCTAAATGGCAAACTCGTATACCATTTAGCTTACTTACTTTAATTTACTTCGGCTATCTCCTACGGGAGGATGAGCCGGCTTCATGAACATCTCGAATCGTTTGTAAGAGAGTTCATGAAGTTTCATGGGAATTTGGTACGAGTGATGTCCCCAGAATCGCTCGGCCTTTTGTTTGAGAGTGCAGCTCTAGCCTTTACACAACCAAGTATGACCTACAAGGCAGTAGGAGTGGAGTAGGGAGTCCACTATCCATTGGCAGCCGGTGACCGGAGTTCGGTTCATACGCCTTTTTGAATGGGGCCAGACATCCAGGACATCCAACAAGCCCTTTGTCCATACGTCTGCCGGTGAACTCCAGTGAGCTTCATACGCCAGTCGTTGGAGGTTTGGAATCAGGGTTTAGCCATCTCCCCTAGACTGTCATCCAATGGACAGTCAACCCGGTGAAGAGCGCCGGGCATCCGCTTTCGCCCTCTCACTTTGGTGAACAACACCTCCGCCACGTGAAGGCAGTGAGTAGGACTTCCTCAGGAGAGGCTATGTAAGACGGCCGGTCATAAGGGAGCATTTCAAGAGGTGTGCGGAGGGGTGGCCAACCCGCAGCGCAAGGCACCCACCCCCGACCAAACTCTTGAAAACAAAAAAATGTATACATTCTTATTCGGTGAGGATAGCGGCTAAAACTGAGGAATCCAAGATTTATGTCTCATTTTTGTTGGACAACTGTCAGATGGATGTACCTGCATCCCCAAATGAGTGATGGTGTCCCGCCCCACCTCCTCTAAGACTCGAACAAAACGCGCGCACGCACCCGCTTCCACCTGTTTCGAATGTCCAAGAGATATCCATTAGGCCATCGGGGATCAATTTTTGCATGTTTAAGTTATTTTCTGTATTTCTGTCTGATTCATTTCTATTAGACTGAAATGATCAGTTTTTACAATCGATAAGTCGGCCTACTAATATGGACGCTTCAATTCAATAAACTTTTATTTCTGAATGCATGAAAATAATCAGTTTCGGAATCGACAATATCGTCATCTTCAAAAAAAGATGGAATAAAGGCTTTAATTTACCCTAATGTGGAACTGTAACGCTAGGAGACAAGCGACCTGGTAACAGGAATGTTTATTTGGAATTCGATATCGCAATTTAGGGGAAGTATGTACACCTTATATATGAAAATCGTGGTTTGCACAGATCTTCCGCAGTGTTGTGCTTGCGCTAATTCTGCCCTTCTTTCGTATGGGTGTTTTTTTTGTCTTCTTTCTTTCGTGTCTCTCATGTTCTGCCGCAACATACTGGTTCATTTGCTGTCTTTGACTTCAGATCTGTTTCTAAGCTACTTGATGTTGTGTGCCGATGAAGGTGTTTTCCACATACTACTGATAAATCTGGCCAGTAGCACATGTCACAGAATAAGCATATTAGTGAAAACAAATGATAATTCATTGTCTACTACGTGAAAAACAAACCAATTATTTTATAAAATCAAGTTTGACGACAAAATGGAGGCAGAACAAACTTCACTTTGAATGTGAAGACTGGATTTGTTCTTCAGAATTACTATAACTTTGTCTATGTGTAAAAGATGGTCGGTCGGTCGATTTTCGACATAGAACTTTGCACCGAAGTGCGGCAGTTCAAGTCGCCACACTCCCTCTTTGTAGCACACAAAGCAAGAGAAGAAAGTAGAAGAAATGCATAGTATAGTCAGTAAACAGAGGTGTGAGACAAAGGTATAGTAATAACGGAGAACAAAACAGTTTAATTGGAAATCATAAGTCACAAGGAGTGGATGCATCTGCACCAGCCATTGAGAACGATTTTGAGCCATGTCACCAATTGTTTCCGACCATTGGATTTTACCGTTCCGAGGACCCCAACCAGACAGAAGTCTACATCTTCCTACGTGGCTTAGACTAACTGTTGTGGATTTCATTGACTGGTAAAGTCATGTTTTCGTTTGACCACCGCTAGCTCTTTTCCAGCCTGGCCCTATATCAGCTAACATTGCCCATTGTCGAGGAAGGTGATGACTAGGCATACGTAGCACATGTCCTAGCCATCTCAGTCAATGTAATTTCACAGTCTCGTCGATTGATTTCCCCACCTTACCTAGCACTCGACGTGTAAAAGATGAGTTCATAAGGGTTCAAAAAAATCTATAAATCAAGCTCATTTGTACCCCCCCCCCATTTGATTGGTAGTGATCACCAAAGAAAATGAAGAAAAAATATCGCTTTCATGCCTATTTATCGTAAACAGTTATATCCCCATAAAAAAAATTATACAGTTAAGTTGATATTTATGAAATCCCTACACGCGAAAATTCATCTAATGCTCATTATGCATTGAGTACAGAATGGAGTATCTGTGGAGCTCCAATGAGACAAGTAGAGTCCATCAAGTCTAGTATGCGAACAGATATTCCCTGATTACACCGGCTGATGGTGTTGCTATATGACACCGATTGACAGAATTTAGAATTCGTGACCCATTAGATTCTTTCCCACTGGCTGGATGATCAGTGGGCTAGCCTATCTGATGATCTGAAGGTCCTGAGTTCAACTCCTAGTGAGTGAGGCAGTGATCATAAGGGTCAGCTACTAAAGTCCCACACTAGAACCAAAACAGCTATTCAGTAACTCTCTGGAATAGTTCGTGATCTCATCAGAGGTTAACAGTGTATTGGAGTTTTACTTATTTTACCATGCCCATATTCTGGTGAGAGCAAGCTGCTAGCCAATTGGTAGACATTGATCTACGCTGATTGGTCGAAATTAATCTAGGCTGATTCAACAACCGATCACAGCTGACCTAGACGTGGACAAATATGATTCGCAGACAAGTGGCTCGCATTTCCGAGAAATATCGAAAACGAGAAAGCAGAAGACTGCGTTTGTTTACAAACAACCAATCAGAAGACCGCCTTCTTTCTGCGGGCAGAAGCCTACTAATGTACGTAAAATACATATAAATACCTGTTGATTTTCGTAATAAAACTGATCTGTTGCCTGGCCCTTGTCTTCTGTTGTTACAATATAATTTAATCGTTGTTACTCAATGTTTTTTCGAATAGGCTGTTTGATTATCGAAACCTTTAAAATACCAAAATCATTTTCCGTTAAAAAAATAATAAAATATGTCATCGGCCTACTACTGATTGATTGATATGAGTAGTTGAGTACCACTCATATGAACTAGTTAGTGAGATGCGCCAGTCAAACAGAAGTGATCTAAACACCAGGCACCTGTTACTCTGGTGCACTGGGTTTGATTCAACTCAGGTAGCCACTTTGTAATGGCTATGGGGGAAGCCACTCTCCTGGTTGATATGAGTACTCATATCAAAGAAGTGACAAGACTACTCTGAAATCCAGGGATTTCTTCACAAAGAATTGGAACTTTAATACACACAAACGCAGAGAGACAGTTCAACAACACAGTACTGATCGCTTCTAAAGGAAAGAACAATCAGATATCATAATGTTTGATAAACCAACCCATAGAAATGTCCAAAATGAAGCATTAAATAAGAGGACGGAATCATGAAGATGGCAACAGTAAAGAATAGACACCACAGTCAAATGAACTGGAACCCACTGATCAGGTCGCTCAGCATTAAGAATGATCGCTTTCCATAATCTTCGTGGCAAGTTTCACCCTTACCTTATCCAGAGCGATCTGATTGGTTGGTTCAAGGTCATTTGGCTGTAGTGCCTATTCTTCACTGTTACCACAATGTTGTAACACTGTCGGGCGAAAAATTTTAAAGAAAATGATGGTTTTAATTCCGAATAAAGAATGTAACGTTTAGGGCAAGTGATCACATGAATATTAAAATCATCATCATTGTTAACTGGGCTAACATGAAAATAAGATATCAATGTCAGAAAATTAGGTTTTAAATTAAATTAAGATGAAAACAGATAAACAATCCATATATCTATCTATGCCACCTAACACAAATCGGCTAGGCTGTTGGAGGAGTAAAATACTGAACAATACACCCACCCAGCCTATTCAATGAATAGCTAGTGAAGAGTTGAATGCCTGAACAGCCTTTTGTATACATTCTGAGGTAACTTCTTCTTCTTCTCAGATAAGTGAAGCGGTCAACACATGCACCTACTCTACACTCTCTATCCATCCTTAAACTAGGCCTAGGATACAAACCAGTCCTATAGCATTAAATCATATTTCAGCATACAGTAGAAATAAAGGAA